ATAATAATAATAATAATAATAATAGACAACTAAAGGAAATTCTGTAGCTTTTAGCAATAAACATTTAGCACAAAACAAATGTCACTGTTAATTAAACCAAGCAGCTTACATCAAGTATACTCCTTGGATTTCAACTCAAATCTGTTACTTGTCCTTTGATCTGGCTACTGCACAATGCTTGAACAATATACCCCAGCCTAATGACCATTTGAAGTCTAATGCAGAAAACAACTGTTGCACTTCACACCTTTTTGAACTAGCTAAGTTATATAAATACCCACCCTCAACAGTAACAAAATCTGAATTACAAACAAACATATCATTTATTACAGAGGAAATGCCTTGAATATAACAACACTATTTTCCTGTCTTTGTAGAAAACTTAAGCTAGCAGCTTTTAGGCCAGTGCTGTAAGAAAGTTGTCCCATCACCCTATAGCATACTGTCTCCTTACCTGCCTTCTCCACCCCAGGCAGAATTTGGAGTAATCACCACTTCCCGACAATTATCTGTATCTGTGTTGTACACGTACAGTTTTAATGGCTTTGCTTCATGCGTTTCAATAAGGGAAAAGAGATCTTCAGACTGAAAAAGGATAAAAATGAGTGTTTTCTTGACCTTATTTTATTATTTGATATTAGAATTATCATTTTCCTAGTTCTAACTTTCTGTAACAGAACCTGGTAACTGCTACACGTTGCAGCTGTTGCAGTGCTGCTGTTTTATTACAAAGCCAACTTTAATACATGCTTTGCTAGCACAACTGGAAGACACATGGTACAACCCAGATTTCTATCTGACGTCGCTAAGATCTTTAAGAGCAGTTTTTACTTCCAGAATCACGTTTAAAGCGTAGATGAGAAGCACCACACCAGAACTCCTTCCACATTGCATTAACTTACTTCCATTAGCACTGATCAGAAACAGAACTGGGGGTGTTTCAAACTGCCCTGGTACTTCTTTTTTTTAAGTTTAAAAAAAAAAATAATATCAAAATCTTATCTTTATATACTTACCTCATTCATGACGGTATCTGCTCCAATGATATAGTCACTATGAGGTCTAAGTCCAGCTAATGCAGCAGGAGAGTTTGGTTCCACTTCCTAGTTTTAAGATGGGAAGTTACAAAACACGAAGTAACTGTCAGAGTGTACAGAACAGTTCGATGTGCACTTCACACAATTTTTGAATCAGATGGGCAAACTGGTCAAGTTTTCAATACAATTAGCAGAATAGTCACTGAACTAGTGAAACAGCAGCTAGATGCCAGTCTCTTTTGATAGAAACCCACTGAATTTAATACAAGATTTGATAATATACTCACAGGCATACAGTTCTAGCTCAGAAGTCTTTCCAAACCCAAAATCAATTAAGAGAAAACAGACGAATCTGATCACATGGCTTGTGTACCCCCTTGCAAGTTACTTTTCAGTGCAAAGATTAAAAGTTTAACAGTAAGCAATGGTGAGGAAGTCCGTACGTACCAAAACATGCCACACGTTTTCATTGGCCCCATCGAAGCTGCAGAAACGAATGCTCACGCCCAGCAGGCCCTGTCCACCCCACATGTTGCTGGGGGTCACTGATGTTTCTCTCAATTCCAGTGTTTTGCTGCTGTACACCAGCATTTTTACAGGTTTTTCAACGTTTGCTTTCAACAGGTCCTTGAGAGTGTCATTGTCTTTATTCTGCCAATGTTCAAACAAGAGCTCGGTTTAGTGTTTAGCACAGCAGGCGTCCAGTTCTATAGCACCACTTCTGTATTTCAAAGGTCCTGTAAACATTATGCACTAACAGAATATGTACCTACAGCTACTTCATAACAAGATTCCAGTCCCTTCACAATTCTAGAATACAACTCTGGCAAAAACCTGGGATTTCCCAGTAACAGATCATGCTTTTCAAACATGAAAGCACTTGAAACCTCTGATACAATGTGCCTTCAGATTTACAGAGGCTGTCTTGAATCCAGCCATAGCGGTGGAAGAGCTTACCCACAGCTCTTCTTTTCCGCTGCTCTGATGGTTTGTCATCTCACTACAGCTCTGCTTGGAAACTTTCTCCCATGACTCCTGCCCAGCAACAGCTTTGACAACAGCTCTTTCAACCAACGTGTTTTGCTGAAATGAGTTTGCAAGTTCTCACACAAGCAGTTTTACAAACAGAACTAGAGGGTCACTAACACAAGCAGATAATGATGGATCCGTAGGTAATTCTATCTTCTGCTGATGCAGATGTTGGCAGGGAGCATGTCTGTCTATCTCTCTGCATCCTTATTCTGCTAAATTTTTGATAGAATTTTAAGTACAGGGTGAGGGAAACTAATTTCTGATGCAGTCAGGCTCTCATTTTAAACGAAGGAGACGTATTTTATATACATATAAATAAAACAAATGCATTTGTTTACCTATAAAATAAGATTCTCAACACACAGTTTATATTCAGAGTTATAAAATAGCAACACACTTACCAATCTTGAACCGTTAATGGACACAATAAAATCAAAGAATGGCTCCAATCCAGCTCTATGCCCCGGTGAATTTTCTTGTACCTAACAAAGTTAAACAAGGATTTAGCAAAAGTGTACCAATGCTGATACACAGATTAGAATTATACTTGTACTTGTGCAACCTGTAGCTCTAGAATCCTCTGATGTTTGAATGTGTGACTTTTAAATGTTCAAATATAATCTTTTGGAACTAAAAATCCCTTAAAGAATTAAAAAAAAGAAAAGAAAAAAAAAGAGAGAGAAACGTTTTAAAAGAATAAGTAATTTATAAATTATTGAGGAATGACACCACAGTAACCACTCCCTGGGACAAGCACTGCTTAACAGCTGCAGCAGATAAACTAGAGATATTTATTTCAATAGAGGAGATTATGGTCAAAGCGTAAGCTTAACAAATTCTGAAAACGTTGGTTAAAAAGCAGTATCTTTCCACAGAAGTACCAACATTGGACCTTGCTTTTTATCTTACACTTACTAGAGGAAAAGGAAAGCGACATCTGTGTAGGCACAGGTTTGTCATCTCATGATTAAACATCACCTGTTGACATTCCTGAGACACAGAAGGCAACTGTACAACCAAGGACTCGTTGGCATACCAACAAGCTGCAAGAGAAGGGACACTGCAATTCTGCAGCCATGTCAGCTCAAACCATTTAACTCCTCCACTAGGACAAGGCCTAAGTATTGGATACACATTGTTCCCAGAACCTTAAAGTATGCTTTAATTCCAAATGAAATAACAGAGACATTTTGCCAGTGCTGGTTTTTCACTATTACATGAATTGCTGACAGACAAAAGTAACTCCAATATGGCCATCAGTTTTTTCCTACAGCCTTTGTAGCAAAGAATATCTTTCTTTATTTGTAAGCTGATTCATTTTACCCGCTGGCTATTTCTTTTATGTGCTACATTCATCTTCCAAAATGATCTAAAAAGCGTTACCCTTTACAGTGTGGTTTCTTACATTATGTGTTATTCCATCTGACAGAACTGGTACAAATCTGCTAGTGTGTTCAATACCGGTCTGATTCTGAAGGAATTGAGTTTTCTTAATATGACTCATCTAGAACAAAATATTCTAATATGGAAAGAAAAGGGGAAAAAAAGAGCTTGATTACTACTAAAACAATCCTCTTAGAACTTGGGGAGGGCTGGGGAGGGGGGCCACAACCACCTCAGATTACTTGTAGGTATCTTTCTGTAACAGATGCCAGAAGCTTAAAGCACTAACGTCACATAACCTAAACACTGATCAAAGAAAAAATAATCTGGAATCAGTAGTTCCAGAGTCACATCACACACACCGACTGCTGTCCAAGATTTGAAAAGCACCAGCACCATCCCAAAGTAATAAAAATCCCCATGCCCCATATTTATACTTTCTGACTAGAACTTGAAGGGTGTCCACAGAAGCATTTCTTCAAGACACCTGCATGCTTCTTGGAAATAGTTTTCTGCAACTGGGGTATACAGGTATTCTCCCTCTATCTGTTGGTTCAAGATGCCTCTTGCCAAGAAGAACTAGAGATCAGGCAGCAAGCTGTGCACCAGGTAATAGGACAGAAGTACAAGCTAAGCTCTGTGTAGCAGACCCTCTGGCAGGAGCTGCACAGAAACTCCCAGGCACATTGTGGATGTTGCTTTGACATTAGTGGATTGTTCCTAGAGCTCCTTTTTAACTTTAAATATTGAAACCGCCAATAGCCTCCACAAACAGAAATGTTAGCTTATGAGAAAAGCTACAGAGAGGCTAAAATACACTATGAATTGATAGAGTATGATACAAATAAAATATGTAATATTCTTCTCAAACGTAGAAAGCATTCACTTACAAAGTTGGGTACTCAAGGCCTTCCTGTCAAAGAAAGGTTGAACGATCAGTTTCATAAAAGCAGAATTAGAGAACTCTGGTTTCCTATGGACATGCTCCACAATTGCATTCTCAGGCTTGACATTTATCTTGTAATTAAGCCGTTCAAAACATCCTTTCCTCTGATGTGGTTTTTCTAGTAGCTAATGTAGGATGAGCTTGTGCTGTTTGCTGCTCTTCCCTCATTTCAGGGAGGTGACGTGAAAATACTTTAATACCCTCTCTCTCTCATTCCACCACTTACTGCATGTGCCATGTGAGAACTTACATTTTGTGTCTTTAATGAGCCAAGGCTTTATGCCAAAATGAAATCAGCAGAAGGTTTCAGAAGTTTTTGGGAAAACAAGAATTTTAAAGACAGAACATGTCTTTCTAAACCTCATAATTAAAAATAAGCTATGCCAGCAAACTGATACATTTATTCAGATAACATATCAGATTGCTAGGACCAGATACACGTCATGGCCTTGAAATTATGAAAAGCCAGACTTCATTCAGCAGTAGGACAGCTGCAAAAGCAGTCCTGACATGGTCCACTCTTTATTCAGAGATTTCCCTCCATTTCCAAGTGAACATCTTGAAAAACCCAAACAAAACCCCTATACCCTGCCACAATATCTCTTCCCCTCAACCTCTGATAGATTACACCCTGAACACTGTGAACCAACAGTGACCAGTATTCAATAAGCCAGTCTTTTAAAATGCAAAGGAGCTCCTTCAATAAGTGAGAATTATGTATGTTCAGCATCCATCAACGTCAAGCTTGCTGACACCTGGGATGTATAGATTTGGTATGCTAAGTAAATCATTTATAGTCTGCCCCAAACTGTTGAAGGGACTGTGAGAGTTGCCAAGCTCCAAATGATTAGTTTGCAGAAAGTATCTTCAGATAGTGAGTACTTTCCCCTAAATCCATCACAACCCTGAACATCTCTGTATGGTTTGATTCTAAGTGGGTGTGTAAAAACTACCAGGAAGCTGTATCTAAAAGAAATCAAGCTCTTACAAATGCATCAGTCACACATGTAGCTGCATCTGTTCTGTCATCACATTTCCTCATGCTGCCATGCACAGGTTCAGTCACAAATAGTTTCCCATTTCCCAGGCTTGCTTGGGCCCAACATCACTGACAGAAAAGCTTTTTAATGCCCAGCAGTCCCAGAAATGCAAAACAGAAGTGCCGAGTTCATGCCACATGAAAAGCCTCCTCCTCAAAGGAGCGATGTACTCAGTCCTGCACAGCAACCACACTGACTCCATACGGTTTTTAGGCTGCACCACCTTATGTTACCAGCTACCTGCACAACCCATCACCATCACGCAGTGCCAAATGCACAACACAGCTTTCTGCTCAAAGCTCTGTGGCCATGGTCCTCTTCCAGGAACTACAGCAACACAGAATAACCAGGGACCTTAGGAAATACAAGGGCCCAAAAATTTTCTTATCAATGATGGAAATAAAGATTCCATGCATATGCACATAAACTGTAGGCCTCCTGAGCAATCTAGCTTTGTGCACCTCTGCTGCATGCCCCAAGTAGGTATTCAGCAACTTGCCTTTGTAATCGAATAAGGACTGAGACGTAACTAAGCAATACCATTTAAAACAGATGCCAGTGCAGGCAAGATACCATCCACAGCAGCTTGGGAAGCCAAATTCTCCGAATCCAGTTGTTATTTCAGACATGCAAGGGTACAGACACCTGTGGGTAAATGTCATAACTTTCTAACAGAAGAGAAAGACAGTGAAACAGACTCTCTGGAAAAGCTGTGGAACTGCCACCACCAGAGCTTTTTAAGAGTATGCAAAGAAAACCTCTATCAAGAATGCCAAGTATCAGAAGGCAGCAGAGGGCTGTACGACCCCTTCAGCCTCATACAAGGCTGCAGGATTCGGTTTCTCACCAAGATGACAGCACTCAGCAGAGCTGCTGCGCACACACATTACACACTATTTCACTTTTAATTCACGGTCAAGAATTAAACAGGGAAAAGGTTTCATGGCCAAGACATTAATTTTAACCTGTGATACTAAAAAGACTTCTCTTCTGGTAAATACATGAAGTTTCTCTTTGCTGAACACCTTTCCCAACACTATCTCTCTCCGCCGACACAGCATATATTGTACATTACACACTACAACAGGGCTGCTCAGCAACACAGAGGTCACAGATTTAAGCTTCAAGTGAGCAATGCCACAGTATATGGAATTAGGCATGGAAAGCCTGGTTTTCAGAGGCAGATGAAGGCTCTCGCTACTTCTGAAAGTCAGATAAATTATACTAATGTCCACTTAAACTCTCAGAAGCTTAGCTTCGAGCACTAAACAAACAACTCCAAGGAGCAGAAGGTCTGAAGCTTTTTTTTTCCATGTAAGAAATGCTTCTTAAGTGATATTGACTTTAGTACTAACAAAACCCTGAAAGAAGCTTTTTCGTAGTTCTTCCACCCACTGTGTAATTGGTAATAAAATTTCATTATGTATAATAAGGAATAAACAATTCCTGTTAGGTCTGACAGAATGTGTTTTATTTCTGTCTGCTACTTTAACACATCACACAGTGTAACTGTATTGAATTTCCTTACGAAACACATTGTTTTCAAGAGAAAAAGCTTTTAAAGCTTTTCTTACGGAAGACAGATTCCCTATACATAGCATCAAATCTTATTGTGGCACAGAGAATTTAACTTGAGCTTTTAAAATGTGAGCCTCCCTTAAAAAGTAAGTCATCTCTCTATCGCAACACGTTTGTAGCTCCACTACAACAAATAAAAGTTAGAAATCAAAACTTTGTGCACTGTTTTTCAGTATCTTTTAGCGAAAACAGCACATAACACAATGGCACACAAATCTCTCATAGATAAAAATTCTTACTTCATTTATTACTTGAAGAAATTGTCAAATTGCTACAGCATCTTGGGCAAACCGTAGCAGTTTCACAACGTTATTCCAAACTTTGCTTCATTCCATTTTGAAGAGCAGAAACAAGTGCATACTGAGCAATGCGTAGAGTTGGACAGTTGCTCTGATCAGCCACAAAGCATATTTTAAAAGAAACATAAGGACGAAGAAAACAACTGATGTAGAAAATTCCTAGAGGTGAACAGCACTGCATGCTACCAGCCTGGGAGGCACTGGTTAAAAGGAAGATTGATGAACACATTACATGG